GAGTGATGTCTTCAGCATATTTTAATGCATTTCATTCTTGGGTAGCACCTGCTCCTCTGGCCGGTGGCAGATTTGAATGTGAAGCTCTCATCAATTGCAGAATGTGTGAAAATGTCCAATATGAGCTGGAGGTGGGGAGGAGGGATGAGGACATAGGCAACTAGAATTCCAACTAGAGACTAGTACTGCAGACTGAATGTTATAACATCATCTCACAGAGATGTGAGATCAAAATATTTAATCTTGTAAAGGAGGGGGAAAAAACCTCCTTAAAAAATAGACACGGTGACAGCACACCAGGATTTGGATAGGGCCATGGCATTTGTGGGGAGGAAATTGACGGTGTGGCTCAAGCCACGTTATTTCTGACTCTGGATGTTGATGGCGGGTCAGGCAGGGCCTGCCTGTTAGTGCTCGTGCATGAGTTTGCTTCTTTTATATCCATCGAGAGAGGCTGAGCAGTAGATGGAACCGTTCCAGCAAATGGTTGCAGGCCTGTGGCTAAAGTAATACCATGGAAAAAAAACACACATACAAAAAAGAGAAATTAGGCATCTACTACTTTTTTTTTTTTTTTTCTGTGTGAAAAGTAATCTACTCTTTAGCATCTGAGGTCTAGACAATGTATATCTGGGCCACATTTGAAACTTTCTGGAAAATTGTTCTCTGCCATCCACATCAGCTTTGAGCCTCGAAGTTCCTTTCTCCTAGATGAAATGAAATATTTTATTTGTAGGGGAGAAGAAAGTTTAATGCGGGCCTCATACGAAGGTCTAAGGCTTTTTGGACATTACATGGCCTTATGTGATGAGTTAATTGTACATGAATCTAGCATGATATGGACTACATTCCAATAAAAACAAACAAAAGCTTAGCAAGGCAAAAACACATGGGAGGATACATTTTGGTCTTTGTGGAACCCAGAATTTTGAGAAATGGTTTTGAGATCCAAAACCACAGCCAGGTTTACAAAGTCATAGTTTGAGCTGTTCCTGAGTTCAAAGAGTCCTATAAACACACCAGGCTTGTTTATTTCTCCAAATTAAAAACAACCCTGGGCCCAGCGACAGCCGCCAGGAGGACAGGCGAGCAGCTATGTTCCCCTGTCGCCTCCTCCCTGCTTCGAATTCAGGAAGAGTGGGCATCTCTGCAGTAGCTTTTTCCAGGTTTTGAGGGAATAGCTTCTCTTGGAGCAGCAGTGTCTCTACAGCTCAGCTGTTACACTAGAATCTCTCTCTTTTGGGGATGGGAACAGTATTAAGTCCCAGGATTCCAATGACTGGGGACTCTCATGGATTGTCAACCCCAGAAGGGAGACTGTGGTGGGCGGGAGGGGAAGCATGACCATTGGGAGTCAAAGCTATTGGAAAGGTTTCACCTGAGCTCCAAAGTCACAGACTAGAGGCTTCTGGCCTGGGGCTGTGTTGAGTTTGGCAGGCATGGGGTTAAATTTTTTAATTAGTGGTTAACATTGAAAAATAGGAAATATTTTTGTGAGAAATCCTTTCTGACTCTGATTGGCTGGAGCTCAACCATGGCAGCCCTCTCTCTATTGGACGTCTGTCTCCAGCTCGACATGGCCCCCACTGGACTTCTCGGCCCCTCTAATCATCCTGCAGGTTGAACATAGAGCGTGTTCACAGCATGGGCATGGGCCAGGTGGCCCAGATTCCAATCCCAGTGCCGATCCTTTCTGTGGTGACCTTGGAAAACTGCTTACCTGCTTTGAGTCCAAGTTTCTTATCTGTAAAATGGGTCAATAAAAGTGCCTTCCTCATGAAGTTGTTGTGAAGACTAAGAGAGCTAGTATGTTATGGGCACAAGGTTGGTCTAGCTACTGAGAGGCCATTTGTGTTTATAGCCCCTGTGTCAATGGCTCTGCATTTCTCTTTCTTCAGTAGGATATATGTCCTAATGAGAATACCAACTTGCCTGCTTTGAGGGTGACTGTCTGATAGAGGGCTCTCAGGTTGAACTAATCATGATGACACACATTTGTTAATCCCTTACTATGTGCTGATCATTGATCTAATCCCATTACATGTATTAACTCATTTCATCTGTGAAAAAATGAGGCAGACAAGAATTGGGGTGGTAAAAAGAGATGCGGACTTTGGCTCCATGTCCCACTTTGTTAACAATTTCTGTGTGTCGTAGTTAACCGGACTTTTAAATATATTTTCCATGTGGACACTTTCTCTATTGCATGACCGGAAAACCTTAAATAAAGCCAGGAAAACTTAAATCATCCTTGGCTAGGTGAGATGACCCTAGCATCAAGCTTAATGCAGACACAGAGGTGAGGTGGGGTCTTCCTCAATCGCCCTCCCTTGGTCTAGATCCCAGCTCCACAAAGTGACAGGCTGCTAAGCATGCATAAGGACGCTGCCCACATTCCCCACATTTGTTTGCACATGCTTTGCTGAGGCAGATTTCCTGGGGCCTGAATGAGCTTGTATTCCTGAGTTCAAGAACCAGACATGAACAGGGAAGTTCTGCCTAGCATTTTCCAAATTCAAGTTTATATAGTTGGGAGGTTTGCAAGGCAGTTTCAGGTGGCACTGGAGCAATTAAAGCAAAAACTGGTGGTTATGTTTTTATTTCAATATAAGTAGCTCACCAGAAATATGTTTTCATAGCTATTACTTAGGAGGAGACTTCAGTAAGTAGCAAGCTTTAAAAATGGGTTGACAAAGAAAAATAATAATAGTGCAGATGGTTTTCAGATCTCAAAAAAATTGTGGGTGACTAAAACTTGGGAAACATTAGATTTGCCTTTTCAGATATATTGAGCTATTCCCTCCTCCGCATTTTTTTGGTGAGGGCAAAAACTTCTAACCCATTATTCTTGTAACAACCACCAACATTTAGATAAAGAGAGAAATGCTCTCCAACCCTGTCCCACAAGTCCACTGCTTTTATACTTCTTATTTCAAAATCCTCACGTGGTCTCTGTTCATATTTTCAGCAGATTTTTGAATAAATTTTTTTAAAATTTATTTTTTAATTGGCTCGTATTGATGGTACACATTTATGGAAGACAGAGTTATATTTCTATTCATGTATCATGTGTGATGATCAAATCACATAATTAGTATAGACATCATTGCAAAAATGTATCATTCCTTTGTGATCAGAACATTTGATCTCCTGTCTTCTAGCCATTTGAGAGCATACAATAAATTATTGTTAATTATAGATGCTTAACACTACTGTATACCACTAGTACTTATTTTTCCTATGGAGCTGTAATTTTGTGTACATTAACCAACCAGCTGATGTTTTTAAAAGAATGTTTTAGGAGACAGGGTTGAGGTTTGAGCTTTTCAAAGGAAATAAACGTTTGAAAAATGTGGCTGTTCCCCTCCCTGAGTTCACATATAGGAGACAGAATCTGCTTCCTCGGCCAGGACGTCCACTCCCGGCTCTTCACCAATGTTGGCATGTTCTGCAGCGTATCTCTATCTGCTTCCTACCTTCCTTGATTCTGTGAGCTGATCGTGGGTTCTGTCTTTTGGCAAATGGCACCCTAAAGGAAAGTTTTTTTCATGATCACTGGCTTCTTATTGGGGGAAGTTTTTGAGGACCTTTTTGAGAGAAAAATGCTATTTGGATATCTGGTCATTTTTGAATGTGAACTTTAAGAAGCACAGTCTGTTCCTTCAATACCAAAATGTCCCTCCTTCAACTCTCATGACCAGTGACCACACAAGTGGGGAAACTGAAAATAATAAAGGACCTTGGCTGGAATGTTCTAGCACTTTTTTTCTCACCCACCTGTAGACCTCGAGGGCTCAGCTCATGTTACTTTGCAGGGATGAGCAGCAGACCAGGTGGGCTCCTCTGTCTTATACTCTTGTAGCTGCCTGGTCATTTCCTCCTTGGAACTTGCTCAGTTGATAATGGCCTATTATTATGTCACCCTCCTTGGTCTTTAGCTCTGTGAAGACAAGGACCGTGTCTGTCTTGGCCACTGCTGAATGTCCAGGGCTTACACAGTGCTCGGCACACTGTGGATGCTCACTCCATGTTTACTAGTCCATGACCTTTCTCATGCTCCGGTCCTGGAATGCACCCGGCGAGGGCTTGCCAGGCCTGCACCCGGTACCGAACCACACCCGAGGAAGTCTGTTCTGCAACGTGGTACCCAGAGTCAATGATACAGTATCGTACACTTAAAAAATTTGTTAGGAGGGTTGATCTCATGTGAAAGGTTCTTACCACAATAAAATAAAGTTAAATGAAGGGAAATTGCGTAAAAGTCTAAAGAAGGAAAGGTCATTCCCAGGACTGAAGTACAAAGTGTTAGAATTACCTTTCTTGCTTTATCTCATCTCTACGTCTGATCTATTGCTATATTAGTTAAGAATAATGCTATTTGACATAACAAATATATAAAAACATGGATATTGGTTCAAAAACAAACCAAAAAGGAAGCCTACACCACTTTTGGACCTTTAGAAAGTTATTTCTGATATTGGACTAACGTCTATCTTGAGTAACTTCCACGTGTTACTTCTAATTCCAGCCCAACACTGAATCACTTTAGATTTACCTTCTCCCCCCGCCACGCCCCCCACCCCCCACCGTAAACGTTTCCTTCACTTTTTCCTCTCCTGCATTAAGTACTTCCTCTGCTTATAAACACTGAGAAGGCTGCTAAAACTGTGCGGCGGCAGCTGGAAAATCTCAACACTCACATTCCCCTTTTCTAAGCTGTGATTTGACTTTCTCTCCTTTGCATTAGGTTGCTAAGTTTAAAAAGCTGTCAATAAACTGCTAAAATATTTGAAGGCT